GCGTAGGGCCGCGCTGAGCACCCCGGCGGCTCCGCCCGCCCCGGAACGCGCCGCCGCCCCGGCTCGGGCCGCACCAGCGCGGCGCGGCCGCACCAGCGCCGGCTCTGGCGGGCGCCCAGCGCCATCTTCCCGCTCCCTCACGGCGGGGGCATGGCGGCTGCGCATGCGCGAGGGCACCGCCAGGGCCCGCCCCGCCGGGACCCCCGACCTTAGACCCGACCTTGGACGCGACCCTGGGCCGAGCTCAAGGGTGTCCTCAAAGTTCATTATCTGTGCCCAGCCGGAATCTTCGCACCTTTTGTAAACGTTATGGTGCCGTTGGATAGCTTCAACAAAAGGAATTGGTGTCTTCAAGCTGGACTTCCTCGCCTTTTGTTAACGTAGCTAATGTCCTCGGGTAACTTATAATAGGAGTTGTGTAATATAGAACTTTGTGTTTTGAGCATTCAAGATCACACAAATAAACATGCGTTGGGTAGGCAAAGCATATGTAGCAGGTAGAAGGGTTGGTGTAAATTTTACTGTAAAAAGATGTCCCACATTGCGCCCTGCGCAGAATAAATGACATCTTCTTACTAAACTGGACTATGTGTCTGTGTTTAGAGAGCACCTAAAAACGGCAACAAGGCCACAGGTGCCATGGGGTCACATCTCACCTTCCCCTCTGAGACACGGAGGTCCAGAGCTCCCAGGGGGCTAGAAGGGGCAGTGGGGTGAGAAAGACCCTGCTGTGATGGGAACACGGGGCAGCTGCCCGGGGACATTCCAGGGGAAAAACCCATCCCCGGGGCAGCCACAGGCCTGAGGCAGATCAAGGCAGAGCGCGGGGCTCCTGCCAAGAGGGCGGGTGAGGCCCCTTCGCTCCCCGGGGCTCTCGAGTTCACGCTGGCAGAGCAGAGGCAGCGCAGTGGAAATTTCCATAGTCGCTGCATCACGAGTTCGTAGCGGCGCCAGGAGGAGGAGCGTGAGACGGGAACCATTCTGCGGGCTGGAGTCATGAAAGGCTCGGGCTGGGATAATCCCCGCGCCGGTTCTCCTGCTCAGCCCCCACCCCAGGGCCCAGGACTGAAAAGACGCATTAGTAGGGCACTGGGTCAGCCGGAGGAGCTGCTGCTCCTGGGTGGAAAAGTATTGCAAGGCATTTTGTATCTAAGGCAGATTTGCCATGAGCTCAATTCTACCAGAGTAGCAAAGCTGTTTAATTGAGCTCATCTCTTTTCATCATTTTATGTGCAAATGTTATGAGTGCCCACCTGACACTTCCCCCAGATGATCGTCATTTGACAAGCAAAAAATACAAGTGGAAAGAGGCTGTTTAGGTTTTGCATCAATGTTAAAGACCCTAATCTGTCAGTTTTAAGTCACAAGCTGTAAATTTACTATTTTAATACTAAAAACCCTTTATACCGAAGTTTTTAAAACGAAGCTTTCAAATGCATTTTGTTTCAGGTCACTGACCTGGAAACTTAAGGATTAAGTCATACTTCAGTGATAAGTAACCTACTTCCTTATCTTTCGACACTGGTGGCACTGGGCAAAGGCAATGTTGCAGAGCCAATTAAAAAAACAAAGCAACACATTGCCAACCACAGTTTTAAACTCAAGTGTGGTAGTTTCAAGCCTCCAGCTGAAGTTCTCACACCAGCATACTGTCATCAAGTGACAGAACTCTACAGAAAAGGAGGAAACAATTATGAGGCAGATTAGGCTGTGTTAAAGAACATTACAAGCTGAGCCTCAGAGGGAAACAATCACCAAGGGCTAAGCAAAAAAGATCTTAAGTGTAAAAGAAATAGTCTGACTTGGGTTTAAAGTAACCTAGAAAGAATCTTCTAGACTCAACTTGAACACATTAAGCTGTAATTAAGCATTGTTAAACTTGAAACTCATCATTGTTACTGGTAAACAAGTGAGAGGAAGGAACTGAAAGTTAGTATTAACTGGAATTTTAATAACTGTACTTGAAAGCATTAAGCACTTTAACCCCAGGATCAAGTATTATTCCAGCTCTGCTCATCAAGGAAACGCTGTTGCTTCACTCAGCATGGGCAGTGCTTTGAGATTAGAGTCATTTGCACATATTAAAAGTCTTTAAAAAAAAAAAATCCATGAAGCACATTCATGGATGAACAGCCCACTTCCCTCCACCCACTTCCATAAAGAAATCACTGCTCAATACCAGTTTAAGTATAATTTGAAGTTTTAATACTAAGATCTTCCCGTTTCTCTGAAGCTCAAAAGCCTGCATGCTAACTCACAAGGCCTGGCAGCTGTGGGTACACGACACTCAAGCCTGGTCTGCACATATGCTTGTGTGAAGGCGACGGTTACTGTGCTGCAGAAGCTTCCTACGCTCGTAGCAGCTCGTTAGCAACACCACTACAGAGTTTTGATCTTCTCCAAGAACTGGCCCTATGCTAGTGAGACAAGGAAGAACACTGTTTCCAACACTTTCTCAGAAGCCAGCCTATATCTTCTTCCCCATCGAAGCAGAGCCTGCCATGCTAAGCAATCTAGCCCAATCAAGGCAAGGCTGGTTTTTGTATAAGCTTAAATGTTTAATCAGACACAGTTGAGAAACCTTTCTAGAATTTAATATAAAAACATTTTGACATTCCATTAATGTAAAGTTGTGCACATGTTGAGAAAATTGTCATCTGAAAGAAAATTCGGTCTTCAAATATCTTTATTGGAAGGCCATGCACTGCCTTCTGGTACTGTATTTCAAATCACTGTACATTTACTTTGAAAACACTGTCTGCATTTTCTAGTACAAAAAACTAAAAATTGTTTCAGGAATGTAGAGAAATATTCAACTTAAATAGCGAAAAAGTGCACCATAATTACTGCTGCACTGCAGTCATTTCTGCGTTTCCCATTTTCTTAAATAACTATCCTGTTTTGATAACACACAATATAAAGAGCAATTATGAAAAACTGAGACATTTAAATTACACTAAGTTATTGAGAATAACTTGTGGGCATGGGGTAACCTATCATAGGAGCAGCACCAGTGGCAGGGTAGGCGTACTGCTGCTGGTTCATGCCATTGTGCATGTTGGCAATGTTGGAGCCGTACTGCTGCTCGTAGCCGTTCTGGTACGCTCCTGCGGGGTTACCGCCCGCCCTGAAGCCAGCCTGCATCCCTGCAGCTGCAAAGCCATTCCCAAAGGGAGTTCCATTGCTGAAACTCTGGGCACTGTAGGCCCCGTTCTGAGTTTTGGCTCCGAAGTCTCTCTTGCCTAGCGCGCCATAGGTTCTCTCAAAGTTCTCCCTCTCTCTAAAGCTACTAAATCCACCCCTTTTGCCCGCAGAGTATCTGTCACGGCGATCCCCTCGGGAGCGACCTAGTGAGAGAGACAAGACAGTTACATGGATTACAGAGGCTGTGTCAGTTCAGCTCATCACGTTTCCTTTTCTGGCCCAGTAATGCAAATCTACTCTGAGGACAGTCACACACTCTCCCCCGTAACACCAGTGGTGGCATCCAGGCAAAATGGCACTTTCACCTTGCCAGCAGGACACTTGCGTCCATCCACCTTTCCAAGCAATAGCAGAGAAGGCCACAAAACTGAGCCCTCAAGTGTTTTATTTCCGACCAAATCAGAAGTGCCTCTTTGGCCAGCACTAGCCATAAGTGCTCCACAGCCAGACCTGGGAGCATCTGGGTGTTGGTTTTTGTTATTGCTGTTTGTAAATACCTTCTGAGGTCACCATAACTGGTAACTAAACCACCTTCCCCATCCATTTTGGAGAGAGGCTGGAGGTGGAATTTGAGTTTCCTTTTTGTTCTGAGAGGAAAGCTACGCACACTGAGATCAAGAACAGCACTTACCTGACCCTCTGTCTTCAATCAGCTGAAGCAATTTGGGGTTGATGGCTTGATTAGCCTCCCGAAGCACAGAGATGAGGTCATTTACTTGCTTAATATTGTTAGGAGTAAAGAATGTGTATGCTGTGCCTGTTTTGGTACTGCGGGCAGTTCGTCCAATTCGGTGGATATAGTCCTCTGAGGAGTTAGGGTAGTCATAATTGATGACAAATTTCACATCTTCCACATCTGTAAAGTGTTGCAGTGTGGCAAAAGGCGAAGTACAAAGTTTTGCACACCACAACAGCCAAATCGAAGATAAACATTAGACAAGAGTATTTTAAAGGGAATAATGGCTGCAAAGAACAGTGTTAGAATCATCCATTTCTGCAAGAGTATTGTGGAAGAGAAAGTAATGCACACTCCGTCTGATCCCGTCTCATCACCCACCCTGTGAGCCAAAACCTTACCATAAGGAGTATGCATTTGCTTGTCATTCCCAACTCAAGAGTCCCCTTTACAAATCATCAAGTGACATCTGAAAGCTTCTTGCAGTAGGGCCACTAAATCTCACAGCAGCCTCTTCATGTGCTCATTTGAGGACCTTAGAGTAAAAACATACAAGGTCCTTCACATACACACTCATTAGAAGCTCAAAAAAAAAATGGGCCACACTGCTCGTCTTGCCAAGACCTTTGAACCGCAGCTGCAAGAAAAACATACCTGTCCCCCCAAAGTCACCAAGTTGTTTTTATGCACTGTGTCTCGTCTAGGCAAGCGCTTCCAAGAAGCCAGGGTTCACTTGAGAATGTGTCTCTCTCTGGCAGGTCTCGACATGACGACTATGTATAGGTGGAGGAACTCCGACTTTCAAAGGCATTGAAAAGCCATTGCTTTCCTGCCCCACTTGTTAAAGTGAGAGGTGGACTTTTATTCTCAGATTTCATGTGCCAGTACTCACCAATTTGCACAAGGCTTAGTACGTTTTAAAGCTGCTCTCTCCATTTCATGGTTGAAAAAAATTTCATTGAACATTGAAGTTTAAAATTATGTCCTTCAACATTTCAAAAAAACTCACTGAAATTCAAAGACCCACAGATCACAGCAAACAGTATGCACAAAACTAACAGTACTGCACCATGGCAAATCATGCAAAGCATGGAGAGAAGAGAAATACCAGGGCAAAGTGAACTGTGAATGAAACTGCTTATTTCATGAGAGAACAGTTTATGGGGTAGTAGTTTAAAGGATGATCTTTGCCTTTTGAAGATTACTGGCACACAATGCTCTCAGCTTTCACCTCTCTATTTGACTGGAAGCAGCCAGCCGATCATTTCCACTAGTCCTCCATCCCCCTCGAGTCCTCCGATTGTCATGCCTAGGCCTTGCCACAAAGACTGCACCTTTATGTGAAGAAAACTTAGAAAAATGCAGAGGTTAAAGAAAGCAATAGACTTTCTTTAAAAGCTTTGGGCAACTGGCATTACGAGTTGTACTAACCTAGACCTCTGGATGCAACATCTGTAGCAATCAGGATTGGTGCTTTCCCATGTTTGAATTCTGCAACACAAGAAATGAATCAGTCCCTTCCTTCAGTAACACACAGCAGATGCTTTGCAGGAATGCTCTGCACAAATTGCTGAAATACTCACCATTTAGAACCCAGTCCCGCTCCTGCTGACTTTTGTCACCATGAATACCCATCGCTGGCCACCTGAAAATACAGAATTTGATTGACCCAAGACCATCCCTTCACACTGGGTTCTGTAGTCAAAGACAGGGCTACTGGCAAATTGCAAAGTTAATCTGAGCATTATAATTAACAGCCAGTGTCCCTATTTGACAGTTCTGATACCACAGTTAAGAATCAAGAGCCCACTCAGGCTGATCAAGGTGGCTCAGTGAAGTCCCAGCTGTTACTCACCCATCTCTCCTCATCTTCCTGGTAAGATCATCACAACGCCTTTTGGTTTCCACAAAAACAATTGTTTTGTTTTCCTTCTCACTCATGATCTCCTCCATCAAACGAATAAGCCTGTTATGAAGAGATGACGGTTAGAGTTCAGATTGATTTGTACTGTGCAAGTTTAAACAGTCTGATTTGTAGATTTTTAGTGGTCTCAGACTGGTATCAAAAATCCATCAACACAAATTCATTTCACAGATCAT